CCTCAACAAAATTATAACACTAATCAGAGTCTATTCTCCAGCCATGTGGAATCAAAGCAGAAATCAATAATAGGAAAACCCATAGAACCTAAACAACATGCTTCCAAAGACATTCCAATGCATTTTTAAAATGCATTGACTTTAATGAAAATGGAAATACAATGTACCAATACTAATGGGACACAGTGAAAGCAGCATGAGACAAAAACATAGAACAAAAACAAATGCACAAAGTAGAAAAGAACAAAATATCTTAATATCAAAAACCTAGAGGGAAATAAGAAACTTATTAGGGGGGAGGGTGGGAAGAACTGATAAAACAGAAATCAGTAAAATTAAAAGCAGAAAAAGTAAAAATCAATGAAACAAAGATGCTTCTTCGAGAATAGAGGTGTTAAACATCTAACAAGACCAAGAAAAAGAGACACAATGTTCTCCTCTCAAGAATTAAACAAGTTATTACTATAGACCCCATAGTCACTGGAAGGATAAAATAGAATGCTGTGAGACAACTCTAACCACATATATCGATAACTTAGATAAAAGCAATTCCTTGAAAAACTCCCTATTGGGCCCTCCCTGGTGGTGCAGCGGGTTAAAGCACAGCACTGAGAATCTGGAGCTGCTTCCACATGAGTTCGATCCCTGCCTGCCCCGAGGTGACCCCATGGTGCGGCAGACCTCTCCTGATCCGCCCGCTGCTCCCCTCAGCAGGGTACTTCGTCGATCTGCCTGTTCTGCTCCCGGCTCTGTCTCTGGTGAAGCCTCTCACCGCCCCTGAGCCTCTGGCCTGTACCCCAGTTCTGCATGCATAAATAAATAAATCTTAAAAAAAAATCTTTCTAAAACTTAATAAAATTTAGCAATATATAAAGTAAGTTATATACCATGATCAAATGGAATTTATTTCAGCAATGCAGCAATACTCAAAAATCAATATAATCTACAACAGCAGTAGACTGAAGAAGAAAGATAAGTCATTGATTGATTTTACCAGTCAATGCATAAAGGTATTCGACAGTATTCAACATGAATTCTGAGAAAAAAGAACGCTCTAAGGTCATAGCATTAAAGGATATCTTCCTCACTTAGAAAAGAACATCTATGAAAAACAAAACAAAACAAACCACAGCAAACAGTGCTTAGTGGTGAAAGATAGGATGTTGTCCTTTGAAGAGGCGGAGCAAGGGAGTCTGCTCTTTCCGTTCCTGTGTAACATCATTCTGAAAGCTGTGGGCAGTGCGATAAACAAGAAAAAGAAATAAAAGTCATACTATGGGGAAGGGGAAGTAAAACTGCCCCTATATGCTCTCTTCTGGAATTAATCAACAAGTTCATCAAGATCACCAGAACACAAGATAAATGTACACAAATGATTGTATTTTGTATACTAGCAATAAATACTCGGACATTAAAATTTTAAATACAGTATCATTTAAATTGCTTGAAAATAAAATACTTAAGTGTACATTTAAGCACAGGATTATCCTCTGAAAATTTTGTAACAGTGATGAAAGACATCACAGAAGATCTCGATAAATGGAGAGACATCCTATTTAAAGATGTCAAATCTCCCTAATGGGTCTAACGGCATCAACTGATATACAGTAATTCCTCTCAAAGTCTCAGTAAGAATTTTGCAGATAAACACAATCTTAAAACATTTATAAAAAGAAATTAGAACAGCTAAAACACTTTTGAAAAAGAATAAAATGGGAGGAATTTGTTTATCTGACTTTAGAACTTCTTATACAGCTTCAGCAATCAAAATCAAAACTAAGGAAGAGGGATAGAACAGAGACCCTTGGAACAGAACAGACACCCAGAAATAAACCCACACAAATATGCTCCGTGGGTGTTTGTCAGATGGGAAAGCAGGTCATGAATGAAAGTGCATTTAAAAAAAAAATTATTTATGCATCCAGAACGAGGGTACAGGCCATATACTTTGTTCTCTTACGGTCCGACTGTGGCAACAGTGGTCACCAGGAATTAAGAATGAACAAAGGGCCCTCCCTGGTGGCGCAGTGGGTTACCGCACAGCACTGAGAAGCTACAGCCACTTCTGCATGAGTTCGATCCCCGCCTGCCCCGGAGGTGACCACAGGGCGCGGCAGACCTCTCCTGACCCGCCCGCTGCTCTCCTCAGCAGTGGACTTCGTCGATCTGCCTGTTCTGCTCCCCACTCTATCTCTGGGGAAACCTCTCGCCGCCCCTGAGCCTCTGGCCTGTACCCCAGTTCTGTATGTGCAAATAAAAAAATGTTTAAAAAAAAAGAATGGACAGAGGGTGTGGCCATAGAAAGGCAACGTGAGGCAGCCTGTGGTGTGAATTGTTATATAAAGTGACTGTATTGAGGTCAATATCCTCACCTGGATATGCACTAAATTTGCAATGTATTGACATTGGAGAAAACTGGATAGAACTAAGCAGAATCACTGTTATTTCTTACTACTATATGTGAACCTACAATCATCCCTAACAGTTTAAATTTTTTAAGGGAAAAAAGCAGTTTAAGAAAGGGGGGGGGAGCCAGAGCAATTAGTTAACCAGGAAAAAAAAGGAATAGATTGAAAAAAGGTCACTATATATAGAAAAACCTTAAGGTCTACAACTAAATCAACATACACAGTGATATATCATTTATGACAAAGGGACCATGACTGTACAGTGAAGAAAGGAAAATCTCTTCAGAAAATGGTGCTGGTGAAAATGGACATCTACTTCAAACTAAACCTAAATACTCCACACACAAAACCCAACTATTGAAAACAATGAAGAGTACAAGAAGTGGCAGACTACAACAATAATACATAAAAATGTGCTGCATATTCCTATTCGCAAATAGTGAGTGAGGGAAAAAGAAATGAAGAAAACAACTCCCTTTACAATCACATCAAGTGATTACTTAGGAGTATATTTAACAATGGAGGTGACTATAGAGATGTATATAGATATATACAGGAGTATATAGGTGTATATAGATATATGCAGGTGTATATAGATGTACCGTGAAAACAATAAGACACTTTTCAAGGTATAAAACAAGCCAGAAAGAAGTAGAAAGATATTCCATCTTCATGGATGGGGAAAATAAAATAGTCAAAATAACATTCTTATCAAGAACAATGTAGTTTCAGTGTAATCCCTATCAAAGCCCCAATGATATTTTTTTCAAGGAAAGAGAAAAAAATAGTAAAATGTACATAAAACCAAAGATACCAAGTAGCTAAAGCAGTTTAGAGGAAAAAAGGCAAATGGAAGTATTGTGTTATCCAATTCTAACTGTATTTGAAAGCAACCATTAAAACCATAGGCTAGAATAATAATAGGCATAGATGAGTGGAACAGAACTGAGTCCAGAAATAAATCCATACATTCGTCAATATTCCCGATGACAAAGGAACCATGACCACACCGTGGAGAAACGAAAATCTCTTCAGAAAGCGGTGCTGGGGAAAACGGACATCCACTTTAAGCTCGATAAGGACTAATCGAGGTCACTCTCTAATTCCATACACAAAAATAAATTCAAAGCAGATCACAGACTTAGATGGAAGAGCTGAAACCATAAAATACGTAAAAGAAATGATCAGCAACACGTTCCATGACATCATGGCCACCCGAGACGGAGATGTCTTTGCGGACTTGACCCCAAGAACAACAGAAATGGAGGCAGAAACAAACAGCTAGGGACTACTTCAAGTAGGAGCGTTTGCTCCCTGAAAGAAATGACGAGCCGGCTGAAGGACAGCCGACTGAGAGCAAAGGCTCACACCTCACACGTAGGGGGGTAACGTCAAGTCTATCAAGAGCCGTCCGATTCCACAACAGAGGAAATGTTTCAGCGGGGCAGGTCTGAATTGACACTGCACAGCAGATACCAGGTGGCCGACAAGCACAGGCGTGGCCACCGCTCCTCAGGGAAGTGTGCAAATGAACGCCCAGCGAGACACAGTGGCCCATGCGCTGCGGGGGAGGGACATGGGTGTGGTCATTCTGGAAAGCCGCGTGGACTGGCTCAGAAACCTCACAGTCGATCCGCACCCCCACTCCTGCAATCCCGCCAAGAGCATGACCAGGGGACAGTCGTACACTCGCGCTCCTGCGGCCGTGATGGTGACAGCTGAGGCGCCAGCGGCCTCGGGCCTGGGAGCGGGGAGGGCTGGGCCAGGGGGGGCCGGGCGGTGGTCAGTTACCGGCGCAGGCAGGCAAGCACCCAGCCAGCTCGCCGCCGAATTGGTGGGCACATTGCTTGTGTCTTGGTGAAGGTCAACTTTAAGAACCATTTTTGGTGGTCAGTCAGTGACTGAGTGAGATGGGGGCGGAGGAGGCCAGGGCCTGGATCTGTGCTGACAGAGACACGAGCCCAGCCAGGAGCTGACTCAGCCCTAGAACGGACCCACTTCGAGTGCCCTGCTCGGCAGGCCCGCGAGGGGACCAGGCCCAGCCTCCCAGCCTGCCGCAGGAAAGCCCAGGCCGCCGCCATCTCCCGACTCGGCCTTGGCCTGAACTTGCAAGCCCTCAGCTCTTGGGGCAGGCTGAGGCGGGCGCGGCGGGGTGGGAGGGGGTCTGTGGGGCGCTGGGGAAGAGCCGGCCCTGGTGAAAGCCTGGTCTCCGCTGCTCTTGCAGGCAGCACGGAGCCTGCACACCTCTGCTGCGGCGGCAAGTCCTGAGCAGGGAGACGGCCAGGCCCGGCTCACGTGAGCCCAGAGCGGCGCGGGGCACCAGCAGTCACACTTGGCACCCCGCTGGGAGACCACCTCTGATAACAGGGCTCAGGCCCGGCTCCCCTGTGTGACTTTGGGCAAATGACTTAGCCTTTCTGTGCCTCCATTTCTTCCACTGAAACACTGTCAGTCTGTCCGAGAAGCGCCCCCAGGCCCGCGCCAGCGCCCGGCCAGGCGCCAGCAGGTGACTGAGCAGGAAGGCAGGTGCCGGCCGGCCACCCAGGGTCTGGGCCGGCGAGGGCCCCGGGGCGAGAGCACAGCGCAGGGAGGATGACTGGGACACGGGACCGCAGGAGGGGTGGGGCCCAGGTGGGCAGCCAGGTGCCGGGTGGGGCCCAGGTGGGCAGCCAGGTGCCGGGTGGGGCCCAGGTGGGCAGCCAGGTGCCGGGTGAGGCCCAGGTGGGCAGCCAGGTGCCGGGTGGGGCCCAGGTGGGCAGCCAGGTGCCGGGTGGGGCCCAGGTGGGCAGC